CGTCATTGTTATTTGGCAGGCCCGGGCTGGATTTGAACCTGCCACCTTAGGTGTATGTGGCTGGTGCCTCAGCCACTTGAGCTACAGGCGCCGAGCCTCTAAAACCCTTCTTTGCAAGCCTTCTTGCCTTTTTTTTGAGGCAAAGTCTGAATATGTCGCCCTCGGTACAGTGCCCTAGTGTCACCGCTCACAGCAACCTCAAACTCTTGGGCTTAAGGATTCCCCTGCCTCAGCTTCCCAAGCAGCTGGGACTATAGGCACCCACCACAACACCTGGCTATTTTTTTGTTGTTGTTGCAGTTGTCATTGTTTAGCTGGCCCGGGCCTGGTTCAAATCCCCCACCCTCGGTCCATGTGGCCAGTGCTGGAACCACTGTGCTACAGGCGCCTTGAGCCACCTTCTTGCTTTCAAGCTCTCTGTAACATTAGACCCTGTAAATCACCACTTTCTTCTTGATATTCATGGCCCTATGGATGATATAGCAATGTAGGGCCCCAATGGCTTTACTACTTTCTCTGATCAAATCTCTCTCTTTCCCCTCCCTCCCTCCTTTCTTTCTTTTGTATAAAGATGGGGTCTTGCTGTCCTCATGTGATCCACCCACCTCAGCCTTGCAAAGCATTAGAACAGACATGAACCATGGTGCCCAGCCTCTCTGATCAAGTCTTAAATTTAGACAATCCCAACAAGAACTGGCCATTTTCTGTTCACCTGCTTAAGGTCATCTATTCTAATTAGTTCAATTACAACAGTGTGCAAACAGCCTTTCAAAACTATTATCCAGCTCTGACTTTCTCCTTAGTTCAGCCCAACATTTCCACAGGTTTACAGATACCTCAAACTCAACATGACTAAAAGTAGGTCAGGTGTGGTGGCTCACACCTGTAATCCTAGCACTCAGGGGGCCAAGGTCTGTGGATTACTTGAGTTCACAAGTTCTAGACCAGCCTAAGTAAAAGGGAGACCCCGTCTCTATTAAAAATAGAAAACCTGGCTTGGTGCCTGTGACTCAAGTAGCTAAGGCGCCAGCCACATACACCTAAGGTGATGGGTTCAAATCCAGCCCGGGCCTGCCAAACAACGATGGCTGCAACCAAAAAATAGCTGGATGTTATGGTGAGCACCTTTGGTCCCAGCTACTTGGGAGGCTGAGGCAGCAGACTTGCTTAAGCCCAGGAGTTGGAGGTTGCTCTGAGCTTTGATGCCACAGCACTCTACCCAGGGGGAGAGCTTGAGGCTCTGTCTCAAAAAAAAAGAAAATGTCTAGAATTCAAGCTGCAAAGATGATATAGAGCAGCGGTTCTCAAACTGTGGGTCATGACCCCTTTGGACTGTATTAATGGAGGTTCCTAGCATCAGGAAGTCTGAGAACCACTGACATAGAGGGCTTTTTTTTTTTTTTTTAAGAGACAGAGTTTCAAGCTGTTGCCCTGGGTAGAGTGTCAATGGCATCACAGCACATAGCAACCTCTAACTCGCAATTCTCTTGCCTGAGCCTCCCAAGTAGCTGGGACTGCAGGCACCCACCACAATGTCCGGCTATTTTTTTGTTGCAGTTGTCACTGTTGTTTAGCTGGCCCAGGCCGGGTTTCAACCTGCCATCCTAGGTATATGTGGCCGGCACCCTGCTGACTCAGCTATGAGCGCCGCAAGAGGTTTGATCCTTATTATGTTACAAGAGTATGTATGGGAAGGAAGTAAACACCATTTATATGCTTGGTGCTTTTTATGTTCAGTATGAGTGTATGCTGTGTATGCGCAACAGAGCCTGGACTACTGATGACCCAACATTCAGGGATAGAGGTATACACTATTGATGACCCTGTATACTTGGTGCTCAATAAGACCCCAGATTGCGAGGGGGAGTAGTTGATGTCAGATAACTGTGTAAATGTCTTATCTGGGCCACAGTACGTGATGACACTTCCTAAAAAAACTGTATATTCCTACCATGAAGAACACTTCATTTGATATCTAGCTTAATAGAATTTGGGAAGAGTGAATTAATTTAATATATAGAGAGCACTGAGAACAGCACGTAGAACAACATCCACACTCTGCAAGTGTTAATTACTGCACTACTGCTATTTGTTTTCATCATTATTTCACTAAAGGCTTATTGTTCAAAATTGCAATTCAGACTGTCCTTTGCCTACCAATGTGAATGAGAGGACTTCTACAGTTTGACAAAATGAAAAAATATTAAAAGGAATAAATGTCTAATAAGAGTTTATGCCAGGTGTAGTGGCTCATGCCTATAATCCTAGCACTCTGGAGGCTGAGGTAGGTGGACTGCTTGAGCTCATGAGTTTAAGACCAGCCTGAGCGAGTGTGGGACCCCATCGCAAAAAATAGCCAGGCACCATGGTGGCTGCCTATAGTCCCAGATACTTGGGAGCTTGAGGCAAGAAGATCACTTGAAGCCCAAGAGTTTGAGGTTGCTGTGAGCTATGATGCCAAAGCCCTGAGAGTGACAAAGTGAGACTCTGTCTCAAAAAAAAAAAAAAAAAAAGTGATATCCTGTCTCTACTCAAAATAGAAAAAGTAGCCAGTGTCATGGTGGGTGCCTATCGTCCCAGTTACTTGGCAGACCGGGGCAAGAAGATCACTTAAGCCAGGAATTTGAGTTTGCTGTGAGCTATGGTAATACCACAACATTCAACCTCAGGGCCACAGA